ATTTATTACTAGACAGCAACATTTTTGTTTTATTGTTTTTATAATTACTCCAGAAGTATCCTGAAATATCATTTTCGTCTTTTGTAATATATCTTGATTTTAATGACAACCCAATAGAAAGCTTTTCTTTGAAGAACCCCCCATGTATCTTGATTTTGATGACAACCCAATAGCAAGCTTTTCTTTGAAGACCCCCCATGTATCTTGATTTTAATGACAACCTAATAGCAAGCTTTTCTTTGAAGAAACCCCATATATCTTGATTTTAGTGACAACCTAATAGAAAGCTTTTCTTTGAAGAAACCCCCATATATCTTGATTTTTGTGACAACCTAATAGAAAGCTTCTCTTTGAAGACCCCCCCCCCCCCATATATCTTGATTTTAATGACAACCTAATAGACGGATTTTCTTTGAAGAAGCTCTCCCATGTCTTGATTTTAATGACAACCTGATAGAAAGCTTTTCTCTGAAGAAGTCCCCTTCCCCCGGTGGTTCAGCGGTAAATCTGAAGGATTATAATCCTAGAAATCGGGGTTCGATACCCGAGGTGAACAAACCCTCAGATAACTCTTTGTGCTTAACAAGAAACAAATCCTTTGCCGAAAGTTGTAAACATATCAATATATTTTTTTTATGTTGTATGCATTAAGTTACGATTAAGTTCCCTAAATATTTATTAACCGACCAGTTTATCTCTTTTTCTAATTTTTAAATGTCTAATGGAATATCGCAACCAACTTCTATGTAACAAACTGAAGGAAGAATAAGATTTCCAACTTAAAATGCGCCATTAAGCGACATACAACATTTTAAAAGCTTAAAATTATGACAAAAAAAGTATTTCTTTAAAAACAAAGGTGGGGGGGGGGTGAGATGTTTGATTTCATCGATGAAATATCATAAATATATTATAAAACAGCAGACGACGTAAGAGCAGAATGCATTATTTGGAAGAAGTTACTTGCAATACATGGAAAACTTAACTTTTTGAAATACATTATAAATGTTTATTAGAACAACAGAATGTTTTAAATATTATCTCTCTTTCTAGTTCCATATATTCCAATACTGAATTTAAATTACTTTTTTTTACATTACATAGCACAAAATTAGTTTGAACTTAATAGTATTATGAGTGACATTTCTATCATTGCTTGTTTGTTTGTTCAACTTCACGCAAAGCTATCTGAGTGCTATTTGCGCTAGCCGTCCTTAATTTAGAAGTGATATACTAGAGGGAAGGCAGCTAGTCAACACAACCCATCGCCAACTCTTTGGCTACTTTCAGTCAACGAAAAGTAGGTTTGACGGCAATATTATAACGCTCCCAAAGCTGAAAGGACGAAAATATTCGGTAACGGGATTCGAACCTGTTACCTTCAGGTTGAAAATCGAGCGCCCTAACCAGGCTATGCTAGGCCCTCTATCAGTCCTATTGCCAACCTTTAACAAAATTTATAATAGCCTGAATGATGAAGATAATCAGTGGAAGAGAAATATAAACATTTGTTAACTACATTATTGTGCTTTTAAAACTTTAGACACAAACTCATGTAGGAGAGTTTTAAAATTACCCACTGACGAGGACTGAAGCTTTTGTTAGAAGTAAAACTGTTGTTGACAAGTTAGAGTACAAAGAAGCATACGTTCTTGTAGACTAGCATCCAAAGATGTGAAGGGTTGTTCTAGTGTAAGTCTAGAGTTCACTGTTTTATTAGCTTCCTGAATTTTAGTAAAAATGATATGGATTTACAGAAGAACTTGAACGTTCATTGACATAACTTATTTAGACATTTTCAGAAATTCATGTTTAGTTTTTGGTGTTTATAGTGTTTTGCTTCTGCTACTGCTTGCATTTTAATTTTGAAGCTCGAGATATAAATCTAAACTGCGTTAAACAAATTGTTCGAGGTAAGATGCAAGGAACGCTTTTTATAGAGCAATGTTCTTCAAACAACCACGTATCCTAAAGCCGACTAAGGTTTCTGATTTTTTTCTGAATATTTTCAATGTTAACGAATCAAGATGTATTAATTTCTTTATGTTGTATAGAAATTTCTCTCTCACGAAAGTCTTCAGCAAGATGATATTGCTTTTTAAATCATACACACTAGTAGGTCGACTGTACTTGTGGACGTACGTGTTTCATTGTTTTTCTCTATTTCTTTAGGCCTTTTCACGAGTAAAGATTCTAGACTATAATAAAGCATTCAAAGGTTTGATCACTTTTATTGGTCTTTTGTTATGTATTTTTCGTAACGAAATATTTTAGTTTTATTCAAATATCTCAAGTTAGTCAAGTAAATTGTGTTTCACTGTCAGAAGAGAATATAAACTATATTTTGGAATATATTCATAAAATTTTATCTCAATAGTCTTCTTGATTTCTTTCTCATATTTTAAGGATTATTAAACAGACACATTTAGTGTAGTTTATTTCTTGAAATGATTGAATTTTCAGTTTTAGTTTTTGTAATGGCTTTTATCATTACCGGCTACGACACTACTATGATTATTCCAGTACGATACAGCTAACTCTGTTATCTGTACTACTTTATTGTTATTTTGGACTTTATTTCACAGCGGATGATTATTCTGTACTTTTGTGACATCAACTCTTGATTTCCCATAATTGTGAGAAACTTGCGGAGTGATATAAATTTCTTAAAGTGATATCTTAAGATACAGTTGGCAACAGGTTTCGAGCTTGAACAGTTCTACAGTTGAGTTTGGTGCATTTTTCTGCACTCTTTATCATTTATGATCAACACATTTTTTTAAAGGTAAATACTTAACGACTTTCCTCGATACTCCAGTCTTCGTTTAATTATCGATCTTGACAAGACACTTAAATCTTAGAAAGTTTCATATCACCAAGTTCCAATATTTTAAGATCAGTGGTAATGGTATTGTTCTAGTACCAGTGTCATCGAATTCTCATTTGATCTATCGCTTTACCGTCTAATTCTTTTCAACTCTTTTAATTTCTTACACTATACTTGTTTCGTAGTTTCGATATATTTTCGAGTTCAGTTTTCTTGTTCAATTTTCACGTATCTAGTTTACTTCTTTCTAATCTTCCCTTCTCTAGTTAGAACTTATCGATGCTTCTTTTAGTCTTATAGCCTTCACACCTTAACTTTCCCCCTTTGTGATAAGAGCAATGTAGGAAAATCACATATACTTTTTTTATGGTAACAATGCTTAGGATCAGTCTCATATACCAATCACCTTTATTGGCAGTTTGTATATAGTAAGGGAGGCAGAAAGCTTTAGCTAGCATCCAAACATTTCAGAGCTAAAATATTACAATACTTTACGAAAATTAGCCACAATGTCTAAATTAATAGTGATTAGAAAATGTGGAAATGGTCGTCTTGTTGTAAATCTGACAAAACCTGATATATTTACTTATGTCACCAAGTAATTAATTGTGGTTTTGTACCATACTCACTTTTTATTTCAAGACTAATTAATTCTAAATAGAGATTTAAATAAAATGTGTATAGTGATATTAAATGAATTTTAAAGATCAATAAACAAAATGTTGTTTAATTAAGTTTAATTGCTAGCTTTTACATGGATAATTCTATACGAAGGTTTTCATTTGCAAATTTAACCTTAGCGATTGAAAATGCATATAGCTATTGAAAATAATAATTTCATTCAAAATTTTAATTTTCTTATTTTACAGAAGGAGTTGAACAAAAAAAAAAGACATTAATTTCAGGATAATTTGGAATTCTAAATACTGTGACTATGCGAACTTCTCAACTTTTTCAAACCTTTATGAAATGGATGCCACTTGCATTTTACGCACACAATACTCTCCTTACCAACCATTCTACTTCTCGATTTATTTGAGGTTGATATTTTTCGTTTTATTTCCACAATCCTAAAAATGAAAAGTGAAAAACTCTCAAATACATCTTGGATATTTATATGTTGGTCATAAAATAATTCTACTCATTGTAAAATATCTTCATTGAAAAAGATCGATTAGGATTGTGTAGAAATTATAATTACTTATTGCTATTATAAATGTTTTATTAACTTATCATCACATTAGGGCACTTTTATTAGAAAAAGCTTCTTACGTCACGTTACCAATAATAAATTAATTACGAAGAAATATTTAAAGCTGTAGTCAACAAAAATTCTTAATAGCCATTTCTATAGGAATATAAAACGAGAAAGCGGGAGAATAATGTTGAGAATGCATCTTGTATAATAGTATTGATGCTAGGATAACAGAAGAAAGATTTTCAGTTTGTATAAATGTACTGTAATTGTATTCACTCTAATTGTAATAGCATCAGTTTCATTAGTGTAATCAAGAACTTCATAAGCGTAAAAATAGTTGAAAGATGTAATATTATGATAATGTTTCAAATAAAATAAACTTCGTTTTAACGTTATTAACCGTTAACCTTACTCGTTAGAGACCTGATCTTTCGTGGATTTTAGGTCGAAGGGGGAATCTTTCTATCACATTCCTTATTCTCACTTTTTACTATAGGTTATACTTAGGATAACTTTGATACTATTTTACAGTTTGAGAAGACCAGTAAGTAAAAAGAAATAATTTGTAAAATGATTGTCTCTTCCACATTTCGTCTGAACCTAGTTTCTTCTAGGTCATAATAGTTTCGAAAGTACAACCACAACCTGATTTTTTAACTCAACATTGTACGAACATTTATTTAAAAACTCAACAGAAAGAAGAAGTAAAGTGTTAGTAATAATATTAGATGTGGGCTTATGCTAATTCGTAAATACTAACTGACCATATTGAAATAACTTATAGATAGATTTAGCTAAAGAATAAAATATATCACGAAGATCAAACATTTCTATGACAAGAAAATCCAATTCATTTACAAAGACAGTCCGCCCTACTACCATACTATCTCATATACATGTGCATTATAGTATAGAAGTTAGTATGATATATTTCTGTATCAGTCTACATAATATCGAACTTACTTTTTGTTCCAGGTGCTTTATCGAACTGGGAAGATTGGTGGACTTACGATGGAATTTCAGGTTTGACTGAAAATTTTTGTTTTATTTTTGATAAAAATTATCAAAACATATTCTTTTTTTTTCATACAAACACACAAAATCATTACACAAAATTGTTTTTAATAATAAACTTGTAGATGGAGCAGTGCCTTTAACCTTATCAGAGAAGTTAATATTTAAACCCAACCGAAATTTGTTATAACGATTATCTTTTGATTGTAATAATCTAGCTTTGATACGTTACTTTTTGAGAGCACAGTCCTCCAGCTAAACCCTCAGCCAAGATGTGCAGCCAACTATGGAAAACGATAGGTTTTAACAAAATATAAGAAAAAATATAAAGAGTGAAAACAGCTGAAACGTAAAAAAGAAGAACCATATCTCTTGAAATTAGCATTTTAGTCTCAAAATTGAAAAAAAAACCTGCCCCAACAGCATAATAAAAACATTAGATAATAAGGTTATAAAATATTACACTATAATGAAATAAAGCTAGAATTTACTTACTTGAGTTCATTACCATAGTAGAGAAACTGACTTACATCGGCTAATCAAATAATCGAATAAACAAGTATTCAGTTCTATAACCACGTGAATATATACAATCAAAAACAACTTCATAATATGCATGCACGATTAACAGCTTAATTAACATCTAAATACCATTTGGAGAACAACACAACTGTAAGTTTATATTAAATGTGTTACTCATAAAGTAACTATGAGATATCATATCAAAGCAAGTATTTAAAGATGGAATAAGTTATAATGTGTTTAAGTTGTTGCGTAATTGTGTTAACATAAAATAATTTATTATAAAGCGTCTGCTGCTAACTTAAATACTTAATTTTATTATATGCATATGTGACGTTATAGTACAGTGTAAGTCTTACCAGAATACATTTTACAGTTCTAAATTATGTCCTGATTTTACTTGTTTGTCCTGTGTATCTTTTCTACTTGTTGGATATAGATTTCCATGTCTTGTCATTAACGTTTTCTTGGAAAAACATGTATCTGAGTTTTATGTAGATGCTATAATTATATTTTGTTCTGCACTCTAATCTCGACATTTATGACACAAAATACACTCCTTATATTAAGTGAGGTAGCAGAAGATCAGGTAAGAAATTGCAAGGGAGACTAAAATCCGCCGAGAAAGAAAAGATGACTTTGAAGAACAATTTATGGTCACGCAATCAGTATGTGATCGATTAAAATATTATGTGGCTATAGAAGTCCCTATCGAAGACTGAAGTTTTGGATATATGGTGTAGTATTAGAGTTCTATGAAACAACAAATTTCATGTTCGAAGACTATTATAAGAATGAAGGCCTAAAGCGAGGTAAAAAATTGCTTATGCAAATTTTTGTAAAATCAAAGTAGTTCGTTGCTTAAGAATATAAAACCTGTTTCTCCTTTACGACGTAAGTCACGTGGTCTGATTACCTTTTTAGTCACCACTCACCACAAAACATCGTTTCCAGAGATTAAGACTAACGGATGAAGGCTGATGCGCACAGTCTGTTTACATAAAATGATCATTGCGCGTTCCACCACAAGTGACTATTTTCTTCATATGTTCATCCGTTTTCCCGCAGCACATATTTTCCACAGGACTACACGGTGGCTGTTACAATGTATCAAAGAATAATGGCTAAAAGACGCTTACACGAGATTACAGTTTAAAAGCAGGAGACATTCCAGGGAAAAGGTTTTATGTTTAACAGCGTTTACATAATCCACAATTTATAGAAGAACAAAAACAAAATATTGTTAAAAGAAACATAAAAGAAGCGGGTCCCACTTTACGAAAACACTCGCTTACATTGTGCGCAATTATACATTAGATATTTTCATATATATACAGAAGGAAATGTGCAGGAAATGTATAAGTGACATAAAGTGACTAGATTTAAAGTGCAATAGCAGTTATAAGATACAATGTTATTGTAAATGCTTACAGTAATATTTTAATAGTTTTAATTATTTCTGAGTCAATACAATCGCATATTTTTGCCACACACCAGCAAATAGAATAGAGAATGCCACTGTTTGTTTGTAATTAAATACAAACCTATAAACTGGGCTATCTATGCAGGGCCCACTACGAGTATCGAAACCCTGTTTTTAGTGTTACATACACACAGACTTATCGCTGTGCCACTAGGGAGTGGAGGTCTTGAACCCATTTTAGCATACAAGTATAACCTATATACTTTTGTTGCTAAGCAACATGACATAAAATCCATTGTTGGAATGCACTGTTACCAAAACCCACTATCTTTTCTATATATTAGAAGTTTTTATATAAGGATCCACTTCTTTTCTATGTGGTTTTTCGCTAGCTTGCTTCATTAAAAAGATGCGCACGCATGTTAATAAGGTAAGTAATAATACCTAGGTGCGCACCCTCAGGGTCCACTTAGTATGGGTGCAAAATTTCATGTTTCTAGGTTTTTTGCTTTTGGAGCTATGGCGGACACTTATTCTTTTCCATGTGTTTCTTCGCGTGCTTACCTCACAAAAAGATGCGCTCGCGCACGCGCGTGGATAAGTAATAATACTCAGGTGTACCCTTAGGGTCCACTTAATATCTGTGCAAAATTTCAGGTTTCTAGGTTCTTTCCTCTTGGAGCTATGGCGGTCACACACAGACACGATCTTTTATTATTATAAAAACACACAGTACTAAAGACCGCAAAACATGGAAAATAATGAAAAAATGTGTTCAAAAATCGGTAAAATACACGTCTATAACAAAAGCTTTATTATTATTTGCAACGTTTAGGGTAGAAGCCCTTCACCAGTCACTTTAAACAAGTATTAAAGTGATATAAATTGGATTTTAGAAATTGAAAGGGCTTATAGATTTACCTAGGCTCTTCAATGGCTGAATTGTAAGTCTGCAGGTTTACAATGCTAAAAATCGGGTTTTGATACCACTGATGGGCGGAGCACAGATAGCCTATTGTGTAGCTTTGCGCTTAACAACAACCAAACTAAACCATTTGTTTGGCCATTGATGGGTCTAGAATATCAACCTCACGAGACAAGATTTACCCGTCACCTCTGATTTTGGAAACTTATTCAGCAACATTTATTATTTCTATCTGGTTTAGAAAATAATTATGCTTTATATTTAATACATTTCATTAAGAGAAAATAACTTCCTATAATGGGTTGAAAAAAGATGAAGTGGTTTACATGTAATATGTTGTAAGCTTGCAACTTTTATTTCAATTCCGCATGTGGAAATGTAAGAATAGAGCTTAAGTCTGATAGACAGTAAACCTCCTTTTCTAGATCTTAATTATACAGATACTACTTTCATTATGTTTCAGTTTTTAATTACCTATCTTATTTGTGAGAAGCTAGTCGTTTTTATTTTGTTTGCTGATTGCTTTAAATTTAAGATCACCGATGAAAAGGAAATACTGCTACTCGGTATTTATATATAAAGTATCAGAAATAGTTATGGAAACGCACAGGTGATACACATACAGGAGTCACAAACACTGGCTAAGTTCAACTAAGTAACGAATCCATTATTAGCACAGTACATTCTGTGTTTAGTTTCTGCCAGATCTCTCCGGATTTAAGATTCGGAACCTTTTTTTATATCTTTAATCTGAAGTTGGAAACACTATAATCAATTTAAAGATTACCTCGGTTGTTTGTTGTTTGAAGTTAAACACAAAGCTACACAATGGACTATTTGTGGTCTGCCCACCACCGGTATCTAAACCCGGTTTTTAGAATTGTAAGTCCGCCGAAATACCACTGTAACAGTGGGGGCGTCTCGGTTGCATTGTGACTTGATATTTTGCTGAAGTAGCCAACTACAATACTGTTCTCTAGCCCCGTCATAAGTAGTAAACTCAGTAACGTTTAGACTGTTATCTTCCAAAATTTAAAATCCCACAATCCGTCAACAAAAATCAGGTATTCTTTGTAGAAATTAAGTACTGAATACATTATTACAGAAAATACAAAAGAAAGCTAATAAATTATGCATTGAACTAGTATTTTGTATTTGCTTTTATAGGACACAGTAACAGAAGTTGTTTTTAGGCTATCATAATTTTAACATGGTGAAATATTGTTCCAAATGTCCTATATTTACTCCTCAAAATTTAAACAAGTTGTGTGGTTGTCGTTTGACATTCTCAGTTGTTATATAGCTGCTTTAATGATATTCATATCGAGACTTTCTACAGGCCAAACGATGGTTGCAATGTTCCATCAACTTTTTCTTTCCATTTATCGTTTCACTACAATTTCTGCATGCTTGGGGTCACTGTTTTACTGAGAGATGAATCCCTAGCTAACAGGCTTTGTTCCTGTAGGAATAACATGAATGACAAGAATCTGTTGTTGTTTTTTTTCAGCAGTCAGGTGCCATAAATTTTGTGTAGATCTCCAACACTATTGGCTGAGATACAGCAGACATTTATATTTTCCCTCCAGCATGATTCACTTTAGATTTTGTACGGTGACCTGCTACCGTTCAGCTCCCTGTAACTCAGCAAACTATCATTGATTCTGACCAAACAATTTGAATTTTGATTTATCTGCAAAGAGCAACCTTCTCCAGCTTTATTAATCCTATTGTTTGAAGTCTGATAAGCACATATCTTTCCTAACCATTGGTTTTTAAGCATATCCACTGAGGCTACTTGTTGCTAATGTGTATCTTACTGTTTTCGAGGTAAAATTTCATAAAACTTGCATCACATAAAAAGCATACCCTGAGGTATTTAACATCAGTTGTGAAGAATATGGACTCTCTAACTCGACACCTAATATTACACACAGTACTAGTTTCACGTTCTTCTTCAGAGTTTCCATGAATAACACTCCTAATGAAACATGAAACTTCGCTTTAATATATTGCATGGAATAGCTTTTACCAGCCAAAACTTTAATTTTTACACGTTTGCCTTGTGAACGTTTTTTCCTGGGAAGCATGAGTGTATTCACCATGTTACTGCTGGGAATAGTATGCTTGCCTATACTT